CCCCCCACGCACTCCCATACTTGCACTCCAACCTCCCCCTCCCTCCTACAACTCTATACGTGCCGTGCGGTGCCGTGTCGGTCCCAGCCCCCTGGAGGCTGAGAGAAGGAGCCTCCGTACCCCTCGGCCTGCTGCGTGGCCTTTGGTCAGCGTCCTCCCCACTCGCATCCGCGAATCAGACCGGAAATGGTAGGAATGCGAGGATCAACGGAAGCGTGTTCAGGGAAATTCTCGAGGGGACGACAACTCCGGGAACCATCCATGTGTACACCTGCCTGGGAATCATCCGGATAACAATAAATCGAAATCAACAGAAATCGCTTAGACTAAGCGGGAAAGTGGTGGAACTGGCACAGATTAGTCAAAATAAGGGTTTTCTACCACTAGAAAACCTAAGGATTGAATATAAACGAACGAGAATTACTGGGAATCAAGTATTTCTGACACATCAAGAGGGAGTTATTGCCCCCTCAGACATTCTACAAGGTCTAGACGTCAGGTAAATTATGGGAAATTTAGGTAGAGAATGACTATAAATTTAGTTTTAATTTGCTGTTACTCACTGTCATTTCAAGCAATCAAATGTTAATTTTCTCTCAGACATTTGGAATCTAACGACACAATTTTTGAATAAAAGTGTGTGTGTAATGTAATTTCGGGTGTTTTGGGAAGCTATGGAAAATTGCAGATCAAACCCATTTCCAACAAAGCCAGCGAGACATGAAAAACGAGGTGTGCGACCGCCCCCCCCCCCCCAGTCGGATGGGAACACTTTTGTGCGGGCGTGTTGACGCAGCATCTGCGCACAAAACAGCCAGTTTTCGAACATTTTGCCGAGGAGCTGTTTGTCGAGTTGAGTGTGGAGAAGCGAAATGGGATTGGAAGGAGGAGGGATAGAAATGGAGGTGAGCATAGGACTTTTCAAGATTGGCGCGCTGATATAAATGGAAAAGCGGGATGGGGATTGGGAGATAGGGACTGACAAAGGGGGTGCCCCACTAGATCCTTAATGAGACATCCTTATATTTTTTTTTATTCTTCCTTTTTGTTCTTGTGAGTTCTTTGGTTCCCTGCTGCCTGCTGATTTAAAAATGGAGGGAGATCTTACTACCTGCTCCCTTCCTTTAGATTTCTTAGAGCATATTTGAATAAAAAAAGAAGACGGGTTTGCTCGTTTATCAGGACGGCGAGCAGACGCTGGGGGCGCGCGGGGAGACGAGGAGGAAGCTCAAGAGGAGGCACTGGCGGTCCAAGCCGACGGCCTGCGTCACAGGTGAGCAAAGTAAAGCAAAGCGGAGCAAAGCGGTATCGCTATACGTATTTGTTCCCGTGTCTAAATGAGCGTGGCTTGGGAATGGCGAAATGAATACCCGACCACACCGCGCGAGCGTTTTCTCATTTCACCCCCCCTCCTCTCTCCCGTTTCAGAGCGCAGCCCGACCATCGACGCGGAGCGCAGCTTCCAGGTGCTGCTGCAGATGGCGCGCAACCCCGAGTGCCTGGGCCACCTGCTGCGCGGGCTGCTCGCCAACATCCCGGCGCTGCTGCGCCTCCTGCAGACCCTCAACGACCCGCCGCTGCACCGCAACATGGCGGGGCTGCTGCACACCGTGCTCAAGGTGAGGGACAAAACAAATGGAGAAAGTGTGCTAGAGTTGAACTGAACCAGACGTTTCGCAAACGTTTAGTCATAACTAAAATGTTTAATGTTTGCCCACTACGAAGTACGATTATGCACTTCGTTTATTAAACACTAAGTAATGTGCAAAATCGTAAGTTGAACACCTTGAGCAACATTAACATTTTGTGTTACCAGTGCCTCCTTCAATATTTCTGTTGTGATTTTTTTTTCAAGATTTCTTGAGTAGAAGCTTGCAATATTTGTATGATTTTGTTTTTTTGATCCTGAATACTTTTTGTTCGAATCATTAATTTTTGGTGCTCAATAGCTCTGGAGTTCCCAAACTCCCCTTATCACATCCTTCTGTCTCACCTGCAGACTGCACTGGACGCGTTCGGGACGAACGGCGTCGGTCAGGAGCAGGGGCCCGCGGGCGGGCCCTGCCCCCGGCAGACGTCCACTCCGGTGCACGGCCCCGCCCCGGCTGCCCCACCGCCGCCACCGCCGCCGCCGTCCGCCCCCGCCGCCTCCGGGCCGCAGCCGCCGCCGGAGCCGACGCCCGAGCAGCTGGAGCTGAGCGCCGCGCTGTGCCTGCTGCTGCGCGTCTGCCTCAGCCTCATCCACGGCGTGCACGACCTGCAGTACACGGCCATGGTGACCATCAACAAGGTGATCGACGCGTGCGTCGTGCACCGCCTCACGCACGTCAAGGTGCGGCTCGCCTCGGCGCTGCGGCACCCCTGCGCCCGCCGGTGAGTACAGCAGCAGCACGGCCGGGGCTGAGGCCGCCGGGGGCCCCACAGAATAGCATTACGTCCCCCGTTAGTCTGAATAATCTCCTCGGGCTCTGCTCGGTTTGAGCGGGCCGGGCCGGGGCGGGGCGGCAACGCAAGCGTAGCCCAGCGCCCCGTGAATGCGCTGCCCTACAGCCGCCTTTGCTGCCGCTACTGCCGCCGCTGCTGCGGCGTCAGCAAGACCAACTTTTCTAGTCAGCTCGAAAAGGATCTCTGGGAAGCGGCGCTGCCGGGGTTAGGAGACTTGGCGCGCGGAGGAGGGGGGGTCAGAGGTTGATCTGAATCGCGGGAGGGATGGTCGGGTGCAAGCGGTACATACACACAGACAGAGAGAGAGAGAGAAGGGGGGGGGGGGGGGTAAGCGAACGAACGAGAAACGAGCGAGAGAGCGAGAGAGACCGCAGCGCACTGACGAGTAAATC